TGTGTGTGTGTGTGTGTATGCCACAATTGTGGAAATCAGAGGAGAACTTTGAGAAGTTGTTTCTTCCATTGTGAGTTTTGGGGACCAAACTCAGGTAGTCAGGTTTATGCAGAAACCTCTTTTATCCCTGAGCCATCTTACCCAGCTCCTGTCTGTGTTTTAACCTGTTTTCCTTCTAAGAACGCCAATGAGATTGGCCCATCCAATGAGTCTCCTGTTACAATCTACTTTCATCTAACTTGAATTGTCTCTTTAAAGGCACTATTTTTAAGTAGAGTTATCTTCTAGGCTACTAGCAATTAATAATTTTTGGTAGATAAAACGAGTATATATTTGCAAGACAAATTCAGGAAGAGGACCCAGTACTTGCCACAATACTCCATCTTCAGAGACGCCGTCTGGCTCAACTGCTTGTCACAATCGTTAGCTCGGATACTTCCTTCCCACTTACATGGCCTCTTGAACCCGCTTATCACATAATGGCCATAGGGGTCTTTCAAAATGTGCAGTGCCCCAAGCTTAAACCTTCCATCAGAGCTGGGGACACAGCTCAGGGACTCAGGGACTAAGGGTGCTCACTGCTCTCCCAGAGGACATGATTCAGTTCCCAGCACTCACACTGGGTGGCCTAGACTGCCTGTAACTTCAGCTCCAGGGATCTGACCCGCTCTCTTCTGGCCTCCTTGAGCACTTGAACATGTGACATACACACACTCCCATGCACGCACACACACAAAAATAAAAATACACTTTTAAAAATGCATTAAAGGTGAACATTTAACCTTGTAGAGGATGGGCAGAACAAGAGAAATGCATACCCTGAATTTTTTATTTATAAAGTATGTGTAGATGTGTGAATGTGTGCACATGAATGCAGATACCTGGGGAGGTCAGGTATCCAGAGGAGCCATCACAGTGCCAGGAAGCATGCTCAGGTCTCTAGAGCCCTCTGTTGGCTTTGTCAGGCTGTCACTTTGCAGGTCAGGCTGGCCTCAAGCTTGCAGGACTCCCCGCCTTGGCCTGTCTAGTACTGAGACTACAAGCACTCGCCACTCCAAACCATTATTTAGACATAATATGTGGATTGTGGCTGGACCACAGTAGGCAGTAATAATAAACATTTGTGGAATGAATGCTAGGTTTTGTTTGTTTTAGATAGGGGCTCACTCTACATCCCAGGTTGTCCTGGAACTCAGTCTCCCCAGTGTTAGGATTATAGGTGTGTGCCATCACCTCCAGCTATATTGATTTGTACATTTACTGCTGATTAATTGGTTAAGAGAATTTAGGGTAGTGTGTTCCTTAAGAAGCCTCCAACCAGCTATTAGTATCTGCAAACCTGTTTTCAAAAGTGTGAGAACCAAAGCTGGTTGACCACTGGTTCAACACAACGCCCACAGAACAGCGTCCACAGCACAGCACCCACGGCACAGCGCCCATGACATAGCGCCTACAGAACAGCACCCACGGCACAGCGCCCACGGCACAGCGCCCACGGCACAGTGCCCACAGCAGCGCCCATGGCATAACTCCCATAGCAGTGCCTACAGAACAGCACCCACGGCACAGCGCCCCACGGCACAGCGCCTACAGAACAGTGCCCACGGCACAGCACCCACGGCACAGCGCCCCACGGCATAGCGCCTACAGAACAGCACCCATGGCACAGCGTCCACGGCACAGCGTCCACAGCAGCTTCTACAGCACAGTGCCCACGGCACAGCGCCCACGGCACAGCGCCCAGAGCAGCACCTACAGCACAGCGCCCACAGCAGCGCCCACGGCACAGCACCTACAGCACAGCACAGCGCCTACAGAACAGCACATTGCCTACAGGGTTGTGAATCAGAGAACAAAGGCTCAAGGAATAAAGAAAAAGGAAGGGCTCCCCTGAGGGATTTCCCCGTCTAACCACAACTTCCTCCCACAAATCCCACTTCCGGTCCTCAGAGCCCTGTCACCTCAGAATTCACCCCCTTGCCTAACCCTTTCTTTTTGGGGCCACGCTGATCTTGTCTTACTCCATTTCCTCTTTTGCAATGTTCAGGTTGAACTCAGGAATTCACAGCACCGTAGGCAAATGCTCTCATATGGGGCTATACTCCCAGCCTTAATTTTAATTTTTCTTTTGGGGGGGGGGCAGCTTTGAGACAGAGTTTCTCTATAGCTTTGGAGCTTGTCCTGGAACTAGCTCTTTGTAGACCAGGCTGGCCTCAAACTCACAGAGATCCGTGTGCCTCTGCCTCCCAAGTGCTGGGATTAAAGGCATTTACCACAACTGCCTGACTTGACTTACATTTTTTTAAAAATTCTATTTACTTTTTGTGTGTATGTAGATGAGCAAGCAATCACGAGTGATGATATGGGTATGGAGGTCAGAGGACATCTTGCAATTAACTGTCTTCTTCCACTGTTTGTGTCCTGGGAGCTGGCATCAGGTCTGTTAGACTTGTCACCGGGCCCCTTTCAGCACAGAGACATCTTGTTGGCTCATCATTTTCGTTTTGTTGCTGGCTTTTGTTTCGGTCTTCTGAGACAGGTTTCTCTGTGTAGCCCTGGCTGTTCTGGAACTTATTCTGTAGACCAGTCTGGTCTCGAACTCAGAAATCTGTCTGCTTCTGTCTCCCAAGTGCTGGGATTCTTTGCTATTATTTTTGTTTAGAGACAGAAATTCATGCCTCCTAGGCTGGCCTCAGATGGCCTTGAAGTCATAATTCTCCTGCCTCCAGTTCTCTGGTTCCTGAGGTGCTGGGGATCAAACCCAGGGCTTTGTGCCTGTCTTCGAGGGAGCATTCCACCAGTGAAGTGACATCCCCAGTCCTGTTCATCTTCTCCCTGAGCACTGTCTACTTCGTGTGTCCAGACAGTCATCAGTGCCTCTGATCTCTGGACTTCTTCAGCTTAGCACGACATACGTCGTCTTTCCAGGGTACTGCTTTATGGCGTTACCACCCCGGCTCAGTCTACTGATGATGGCGATGTGCTACCTGTGACAGAATGGAGTTGCTCACTTGGTGCGGTGACCTCCATGAGTGAGCAGGTCCCCACAAAGCTGCCTTTCTGAGCTACGCAGTGTCCTGGACAGAACGCCACCAGTTCAGCTGCCCTCTCGGGTGCACCTGCGTTTCCCTAGTCTCCCATGTGTTGGGAGCTTGATTGCTCACGGGAACTACAGTGCCCCGCATTTCCCAATCTTCACCCATGTCTCCATCTAATGTCCTAATTACAATCCATGACCTTCCTCCTTAAATCGCAGCTGGGCTTTCTGAAGAACATTTTGAAGTCCCAGAAAACCATTCATATGACACTGGTCATGTCAGCTGTCACAGGGTCAGCTGTCCCAGTCTCAGTTGACTGTCTCTCTCTGTGTGTCTCTGTCTCTGTCTCTCCTACAGGTTGCAGCTATTTTCCAGAGATCGTGTGGCCTGAGGTATGTATGTTCTTAGGCTCCACGTCTCACTCCATAGTGCACTACTAAATACAGGTTCTGACAGTTCAGAACTTCACTAATGCTCCAGGGATAATTGGCGGGACTTAAGGTGGAACATGAAGACAGCCGCTGATCAAGTGCTGGTATGCGTTACAGAGGGACTCCGTCTTTGTGCCCCCCCCCCAGGGACCCTCTACTTCACTGCACATGCTCATCAAGGTCACTCCAAGGACCAGCTTCTCTTTGTCCAAAGACCTCTGCCTTTCCAAGGCCAGGTGCTGTGTCAGGCGCTGGGAGCACAGAGTGTAGATGGGTCCACGGCAGCCACTTTGGGGCTGCACACCTGAAATCCCCATGCTCTGGAGGCAGAGGAAGGAGGCCCAGACCATGGGAGGCCAGCTGGGTCTATGACCCTTCCTCAAACAAACCCTCCACATATAAAGCAAACAAACAAATTAATAGAAAAATGCAACTAGACACAGGGCCTGGTCTTTTTTGTTGTTGTTTTGTTTTTGTTTTCCAAGACAGGGGTTTTTTGTGTGTGTGTGTGTGTAACAGCCCTGACTGTCCTGGAACTCATTTTTGTAGACCAGGCTGGCTTCAAATGCAGAGGGATCCATCTGCCTCTCCTCCCAAGTGCTGGGATTAACAGTGTGTGGCACCACACCCCAGCTAGTAGCATTAAACTGTATACTTAGCATCATTGCACACTCAAGATACATTTTAATTTTTATAATTTTCAAAACAATTTATGAAGGAATCTCCTACATTTTACAGAGGATGTCACTTAGGAAAGAAAGGTTAAGCAATCCCCTCAGGGTGGTCACAGTAATAGATGGTAAGTTATGGTAGAATTAAGAATACAAGACCTAGCCAGTTCTTGGGGCCTACAACTGTCATCCAGCACGTGGGGTGTAGATGTCATCCAGCAAGGGGTCAGGAGTTCATGTGACCCTGTGCTGACATACCATAGTCAGCACACCACCTCCAGTGGACCCATAACATGCATATCACTACTATGTTTCAGTTAGAAACTCTGTGGCAGAGTTTCAATTTGTTATATAATAAGAATTTATAATGATTTTTAATTGAGGATTTTAAGTGGAAAAAAATGAAGCAAAAGAATTCTCTGTTTTTCCTACATGTAGAGACATAAACCTTCCTTTTTCTTTTCAAGCCCTGGCTGTCCTGGAACTCACTCTGTAGACCAGGCTGGCCTCAAACTCACAGAGATCCGACTGCCTCTGCCTCCCAAGTGTGCGCCACCACACTGGCAAGACATATATGATAGGGGAGTTCAGCCAATCATATTCTGTTTTCGGGGCGTGCCGCCCTCAGGCAAAAGCCTGCCTATAAACCTAGCAACCGCGCTCCGCTAGCTCTTTTTTTGCCGGGCTCCTGCATCCAGACGGATCGGTTGGATTCTGGTGTAAGCTGTTGTAAGTTTTACTTCTGTTTATTAAAGCTGTATATTTTGTATCAAGACAGTCTGGGGACTTTTCTTTACCAATCGCCCTGCAGCTTCACATATACCTTTCTGGGATGAGAAAAATGTAATTACATGAACTGGAGTTTAAAAATTGTTTTAATTCACATTAATGACTGGTGGTGGTGATGTCTAATGTTTCAATTCTAAACCAGAATTAATTAGTTCCCCAAACAAAGCACATAGAGCAAGGCCTGGTATACACGCTTTCATCCTGACATAAAGAGGATCAGGAGTTCAAGACCAGCTTCAGTTGCATAGGGAGTTCAAAGCTCACATGAGATACTTCCTCAAACATTAAAACCAATTTTTTAAGTTAACTAACTAATTAATTGATTAATTTGTTTTACTGAGACAGGGTTTCTTTGTGTAGCCCTGACTGTCCTGGAACTAGTTCTGTAGACCAGGCTGGCTGTGAACTCACAGAGATCTGCCTGCCTTTGCCTCCCAAACAATTTTTAAAAATAGGAAATTGAGACTGGCTACAGCTTGATAGAACAAACATAAACTGTGACATTCTGCCTTGTACAGGCTCCACCAGGGTTCTTGTGTGAGTGTGCTAGGCTAACGAAGAGAAAGGCACTTTAGTGTTTGCTTTCTTCAACTTGACATAGTCTTTGCAGCTGCTTCCGACAGATCTGCAAGATCACATCTGTCCGTCTATCAGTGCTGACGAGGGACACAACAGATGGTGCAAACCAAACTAAGCCATGTCCCCCACACCGTAGCAATGGTATAAGACGTTCACGTGACGCTTGATGGGATCCACGACCAAGTAGGAGAACGTCTGCTCATGCTCCTTAGCTGAAGGGTAGCATAAGCCAGCAGAGTCCTGAAAAGACAGGCCTGAATTTTTCAGTGTTCAACCACATTGAAGTCTTTGACTGTCACACATTTTTCTGCACAAGTATCATGAAACATAGGTAGGTGTAATGGCACACACCTTTAATCCCAGTCCTCTGGGGTCTGAGGCAGGAGGATTAAGTTTGAGGCCAGTCTGGAATGCACAGCAGGATGTCTGTCTCAATAAACAAGAATCATTAAACATACATAAAAGTTTTTGATAATAAATTGGCAATAAACCACAACAGCCTTACTAGCAGTACCAATCCACTGTGCGCATGTATCACAACCCTTGCCTCTTGCCTTCGGGAGTGGCTAGTGCAATCACATTCTTTCCTGGAGCTTGTTGCCGCTCTGCTGTGCTATGTTTAAGCGTGTGCCCCAGGCTGGCCTCAACTGATGGATCCTGCCTGACTGCTGGGATGACAGGTGTGAGCCATCACTGCTGGCTTTTTTCTTGCATGCTTTTGTGCTGAGATAGGGTTTCACTATGTAGACCAGGCTACACTAGAGCTCAGGAGCCCTCTGCCTAAGTCCCCTGGGTGCTAGGACTCAGGTCTGTCCCTTCCCTGACTCTATCAGATAGTTTCCATGGACCACTGAGATACTCAGTGGGTGAAGTACCTGCCATGGGTGCTCTTTGCTTTTGTCAACTTGGCTCACACCTAGAAATATCTGCAGAGAGGGGATCTCTATTCAGGAATTACCTCCATCGGACGGGTCCGTGGGACATTATCCTGACTAGTGATGGATGGAGGAAGACCTAGCCCACTGCGGGTGGTGCCAACACTGGGCAGGGGTCTGGACTGCATAAGAAAACAGACTGAATAAGCCACGAGGCTTGTGCTTATGTCTCGGCTTCCTCGACAGTGGACTGAGACTTGGACACGTAAGGTAAATAAAATAAAGCGTCTCTTCCCCTAAGCTGGATTAGTCAGTGTTTCATCACCATAGAGAGCAAATGAATGGAGAACCTGGCACCAGATGTTGTTTGGGGAGGACTGTGGAGGGAGTTGGAGCTTTGGGCTGGGAAAGCAGGTAGTGCTCTTCACAGGGACTTGGAAAAGAGCAATGAGGAAAACCAGTCAGCGACACTCCTGCAGTCTCTGCTTCTGCCCTGGCTCACTCCCATGAAGCTGTACCCAATAGTGTTAGAATTTTATAGAATACTCAGCAGCGGCATCTTTTCTCCCGGGTATAACAGTCTCTGCTTCCTAAGCCACAAACATAGCGGTTCTATCTATAATGAGTAAACAAGAAGCTCAATACTCACGTAGGCCTTCACTTTAAAGACGGAAGAGGTAATTTGTATTTCCTTGGTTCGAGGATGTTTCCGAACACTAAGATGAGAAAAAAAAAGGCACATTTAAAACCTAACAAGCCTGGAGACTGGAGAGACAGCTCAGCAGTTATGAGCACCCTCTGCTCTGGTAGAGGACCTGGGCTCAGTTTTCCAGGATGTACTTACAAACATCCTTACCCTCAGTTCCAGGAGATCTGATACCCTCTTCTGGCTCCTCAGCCAACAGGCAGACATGCAGACAAAATGCCCTTAAAATGTTTTTAAAAAGAGAGAGTAATTGATTGCTGCTTTGGCCAAGGATCTGGGTTTGATTCCAGGACCCACATCAATTGTCTCGTGAATCCAACACCCTTTCCTTGGACTTGTGCATGTGTACACATACAAATAAATCATAAAAAAGAAGCATCATCAGCTTAGCTGCTCTTTTCATGAACGGTTGTTACTCTTCAGGGCTTTTAAAAATTTAACACACCAAAATGTAGAAGAGCGCAATGGGGAGAAGACAATCCAGACACACTGGACACGTGTGTATTAAATTATCATCATAAAGCCCATTATCATGTATAATTCAAAGCTACCAATAGAACCTTTGTAAATGTAGAGGAAGTTGCAGGCCAGGCTACTAAGAGGGCTCAGTAAGAAAGAGCATTTCTATTTAAGCTCTAGAACTGTTCGTTTCAAATACCTCAGTGAACCCTTCCGTACCACACACAGCAGTGAGACATTCCAGACTCCTGTGGCAGCAAAATGGTAGTGTGGTAGTGTGTGCATGCATGGCTGGGTGCGGAGGGCCTCTGTCTCCTGAGCTCAC